GGAGCATGGGGGATGTGCATTGTAAGTCCAAAGAAGCATTGTCCTTATCATCATCTCCTGGGCATGCATTTGTAGGGAAAAAAGTTGACTCTATCAGAATGCTACAATACGGAAGCACAGATTAACTGTCAGAAGAAATCACCTCCATCAGAAAAGTTTCCCCAGTAACCTCCCCAAACATGAGAAGTGTTGAGTCTATTTATTATCTGTTCCCAGTTTTAGGGAAAAATATGAAGCCCTAGTCACTGTTTGAATGTTTGGAAGGTGGTGGTGTGTCTGATCAGAGGATTCCCTGAAGGAAGATGGAGTCTGGCACACAGACCTCAGGGAAGGTGTCATACCTGCCTGCACATGACAAAGTGACTCATTCCAGCAGAAATCTTGCACAGTTTGGAGGGTTTCTATAAAAAGACTCCATAGTTCCTTCTTTTTTTTTTTTTTTTAACCTCTGCACCATCTTTATTAAAAACTATTAATATAGCGCAAAAATAGCTTGTTATATAGAAGTACAACTCTAAAAAATTAATTTCCACAGTACAGTATATAAAGTGTTATTAATATTTATTACTGTATTTTAAAATATTCAAAGTATAAATCCTCATTTTTAAAGTGTTTAGTGCTGAATACTTTTTCTTAGCTTTCCAACATTTTGTACAGTAGAGGGTGTGATTTAGATGACTCCATCGTGTTCAACCAATGGATATTTAATAATAAGTAGTCGTCGTAGTAGCAGCAGCTGCTAACACCTTTATAGCACATAATGCGTGCCAGGCACTATTAGAGGGAAATTACACAGACAACAATAATTATTCACAATGTTATTTTCAAGAATGTTCAAAGTGGACAAACCTAGTAAATTGGTTTCATAGCTCTTCCCATTTGTATCAGAAATGTAAAAAAGCAGGGACTGCAATTTACTAACTTGCCAGTATGCATCATCATCGAGGGTCTCTTGGCACAAAAAGAGAAATTCCCTATTCTAACATGACAAAACAAAGAGACAAAAACGAGAAATGGAGAATGGGGGTTGAAATCTAAAAGGTAATTTTGTGGGGGGACAGGATTAAAAAATATATGATGGTGCTAAGCCAGCACTTGCTTTTTTTTTTTTTAAATGCTGGATATATAGTCTTTTGCATTACATAGTTCCTTCTGTCCCAGAATATTAAACACACAGATTGACATTTTAATTAGAATTAGAGGGAAATCTCTTAAAAGAGACAGTTTTTAAGAAATTAAAGATTTTTACAGGGAAAGACATAATTGATAACTGAACTGGCTGCTTAGCAAAAAATATGAATATGTATACTTTTAACATCTGTAGTTTCACCCAAAATTTGTATCACACTTTACAGACTTTGAAAAGAATGTGGATAAAGTCACACGATACATGGGTTATCAAAGGAATTCTTAACGACAACTTTACCTTATGACCGAAAAACCAACCATTAGTGAGACTACTGGGCAGTTCTGAGTCAGGGTGAAGCATTTTTTTCTGGTACAGATAGCAAATTCACTGTTCAATAGTTTCATTGAAAATAAACTGGAATCTAAAATTACGCTTTCCATCAGATACTCAATTCACTCTAATAGTCATCTAAACATTTATCCTGAATTAATGATGGTAATCACAGTTTTGTAAGGATCTGGAGAAAAGGATACTCATATTATTATTGGTGGGAAATTCTACTCACCATTGAAGGGGAAAATCTGACATCTATCACAATTATAAACATGTGTCACCTTTGATCTAATTTCTTAAGAAATATACACCAGTGGACAAGGATATGTATGTAGAGCTGTTCTCTAAATTAGTGAAGAACTAAAGCTACACTTACATGTTCATTAACAGAGGAATGGTTAACATATGGTGCATTCATATCATGGAATACTATGGGCACAGTTATTAAAAACAATGAAGCAGCAGATGTACTGACATGGAAGAATGTCTATAATAGAACACTGGAAGAAAGAAGGTGGCAGGTCTTTAAGCTTACATTGAATGATCCTTTTTTATTCAAAAGAAATAAAAAACCATACAGATGTGTGTCATACATAAAATTTATTGAAAAGAATACTTACCAAACCCCCAAGAATTGTTACTTTGGGACTGAGACTGTGTGAGGGGCAGGAACTTTGATTTTTTTACCTTACACATCTCTGAATGGTTTGAACTCTTGGTGATTAAAAGTTTTATAATTTTAAAATGACTAACGTATTTAAAAGTTACACAATGCTTTTGAAAGGCATACCCAATTTTCTTTTTTATGAGTTACTTTGTGAGATAAATTTACCAAAGATTCCACCTTCAAATGTTAAACAGGTAGCCTTTTGGAACTTTGAGAATCTGGAAAACTTTTAGTATGTTACCATAAGATAAGAGTTGACTATACGGCATATCCCAAAATGAACTGTTTAGGGTATGAATATAACACAATATTTAAGAATGGAACTTACTGAAAATTTCTACAAAGAGGTACTGAAATAATTTCAGAATTAGGGGTTTCACTGAAGTGGGAATAAGTAGCACTAACTCTGCTAAGACAAAAATTTAAGACTAAACGTCAATTTAACCATGAAAGCACAAAAAAAGCAAGAAATTAACAACAACAACAAAAAAAACACCAGTGACAAGGATGAAGAACCACATTTAAGCCTCAAACCACATTTGTTATGTTAGGAAGTTAGACATGAGCAGCAAGGGAGGCCTGGTTGAAAGGGATGCAAGCTGATCTCTAAATTCCATCCCAGACACACCCAGGAGAGTTCACAGATATGCTACAAAATAACCAGAGACTTTTCAACTCTTGCACATGTGCCCTAGGGACACAGTGAGTGGATACAAAATAATCAAGGGGCTTCTCCAAGCAACCTTAGGCACTTAGGAGCCCAGTAAGGCTCATGAACATTCTACATCTAATTATAACAGACTGAATTATGAGAGGACACAAACAACATATCCTGCATATGTTACAACTGTCAATCAGCCTTGAGTATATGCCCATTTGCATTCCCTTTCATTGACTGGTGGTGGGTACAAGTTCTACTTTGCACTCACCATAGGCAAAAGGGAGAGACTGGAAGTATGAAAGTGGGACACCGAACAGGATCAACAGGAAGGAAGAGGAGAACTCCTTTGGAGTCAGTCTGCTCCCATGTTTTAGGAGTGTCTGTCTGTCTAAAAAAGATGTCTGCCTGAGCCAAACTGAACTGTAACTAGTCTGTTATTCTGTACCCTTTAGTCTATCACTCTAAGTTTTTGGTGTGACAAGACAAGAAACTAGGAAGAGAAATAAACTGACCTTACAGAAAAAACATCAACAGACTTCCCTGGCAGTCCAGTGGATAAGACTCTGCAGAGGGCAGAGTTTCCACTGCAGGAGGCCTGGACTGGGTCCCTGGTCAAGGAACTAAGTCCTTGCAAGCTGCACGGTGTGGCCAAACAAAACAGAAACCAAAAGGAAAAAGACAACTAGCTGTGTTAAATTATGTATCAGACAAAAAAAGAAGGGGGTAAGGTTGGTGATACACAGACTGTAAGGATACAGCTATGACAAACTAGACCGTGTATTAAGAAGCAGAGACCTTTTACTTTACTGACACTTTACATCACTTTACTGACAAAGGGCTGTCTATGGTTTTTCCAGTAGTCAGGCATGGATGTGAGAGTTGGACCATAAGAAGGCTGCGGGTCAGAGAATTGATACTTTCAAACTGTGGTCCTGGAGAAGACCCTGAGAGTCCCGTGGACTGCAAGATCAAACCAGTCAATCCTAAAGGAAATCAACCCAAAATATTCATTGGAAGGACTGATGCTGAAGTTCCAATACTGTGGCCACCTGATGCTAAGAGTTGACTCACTGGAAAAGCCCCTAATGCTGGGAAAGAACAAGGACATGAGGAGAAGTGGGCGACAGAGTTTGAGATGGTTGGATGGCATCACTGACTCAATGGACATGTGTTTGAGAAAACTCAGGGAAACAGTGAAAGACAGGGAAACCCAGGAAGGCTGCAGTCCATGGGGATGCAGAGTTGGATAGGACTCATTGATAGATGGATAGATGATAGATGGATAAAACAACAATAAAAGAAAGAAGCTAGGGATTCTAAAGATAACCTCCTCAGCAGGTTTCAAAGTTTGATTTTTGCTCTCTATACAGGGTCAGAAGACAACCTGAAAGTCAAGCAAAGCCAAAGTAGCTGCGATGACTTCCTCTGAAGCCTGACTACAAATTACCATTTCCTTTCCTACTGCTCTAAGGACCCAGAGTTTGGGAAGATCTCCCAGGCTCGACGTTCAATCCTGGATAACGCCCGGGGCAGTTGACAGGGGAAGAAGCTGTGAGAGCCATACAGACTTTCCCTTCAGAGGCTGCTCCAGCCAAAAACTGAGAAAAATCTGTAAAGAGCAGTGACCAACCAGTCTGCAAATGGAAATCCGCCCGAACCCAAATAAAACCTACCTCCCGAGGCCAAATCAAGCAAACCGAGGCAAGGGTAGAGTACCGGCGAGGAAACAGTACAGCTAACTCCAGAGTTACTATCACACACGCGCAAACGTTGACCCATGCCCACTCGGCAGCGAGAGTAAAGGTGGGAACTCCACACGTAGGACAGAACCCAGGGAACTTCCCTGGCTGCGGATAAGGCCATTTCATCCCATTTTTTCTTCCCTCCCAGACAGTCTCCAGCAAGTAGTCTCCTCCCACCCCATCCTGTCCCGCGGGGCTCCACCCGTGGCCCCCTCGTGCTCAAGTGGCCTGAGAGCTGAGGTCCGTCCAGCAGGCAGCTGTATTCCAGGTCCGAGAGAAACGAAGACAAAAAACCATTTGCACCTCAGAGGCACCGTACTCACCCTCATAACTGACACCGCCGGCTCCACCACAGTTGCCATCACTGTCCTCCTCTTGGGTAGCAGCCCCCTGGGTCTTGGGAGCAGCCATTACGCGGCTGAGGAAAAAAAAAAAAAAAAAGAGGGCCGCAGAACAGGCGCGGGACCAATGGAAACGCGATTGGAAACGAATTCCCCACTGACGCGGCTTTTCCTCCACGCCCACTTCGCGCCGTCACGATCTGGGCGAATAGAATGTGGCGAGCGGGACGTAGCCCCGCCTCTAGCCGCTAACTCCCGCCTCCTTCCTGGATGGAGCTGTTGCAGAACTACGGTTCCCAGCGTGCTGCGGGGCGCTAGGCAGGGAGGGCCAGAAGAGGCGCTGACGGGCGGGGGTGCGCTGGAGAGTGCCCCGGCTTGTTCGCTTAGTTCAGTGAATCAGAACAATGACTGCGCCTCCGGGTTCCCGGGAGCGCGTCGGAGGACTGTGAGCAGCCGCCGCCGGGAGAGCGGCGGGCGGCGCAGCCTCGGCCGTGCGGTGTCAACGTTAGCCTCGGGAGCCTTCAGCGCAGACCCTGCCCAGAGACCGCAGCCCGCGCGGAGCCGCGGGGCTCCAGCGCTGCAGCCACTACTCGGGAGCTGTGCATTGTTGTGAGCCGGAGAAGGGGCGCGGGGATTACAAAGCCTGAAGACCCCGGACCCCTGTTTAGCCATGTGGATACCTACGGAGCACGAGAAATACGGCGTCGGTGAGTCTCCGCGGGGCGAACTTTTATTCTGCTTTGGTCCTAGTCCGAGCGAGTGCGAATTTCGCGTCCTTGCCCCTGTGCCCCTCTGGCTCAGCCCGGCTGCAAATGCCTAATTCTGTCATCGCGCTGCGGGTTCGGGGCTTTGCTCAGCCACCTCCTGGCAGAGGGGTGCGCGTCGGCGTCTCGCCCCTCAACGCCGGATGGGAGCTCTCGGCACGGGCTCCCAGAGGGAGCGCCGGGACGGCTCCGGGGAGCGCGCTGCCAGCCCGCCTGCTGTGGGCTCTGCCTGCGGAGTTTGGAGTGGCTACCGGGCGTGTGTGTGTCAAGTTGGAAAAGGAGGACGGACGGCTTTCCTCTCCCTCCTTCTCCTTTACCTTAAAGATGGCAAGGGCTGCAACGACTTCCCAGGGTGGAGAGGGAGACAACAGTCGCGGAGAGAGAACATCCCCAAAACAGAAGGGAGGCGCAGAACCTTCCCGGTGCCTTCCACATTCCCGGAGTGCGGAATGTGGCACCGTCCTCAGAAGAGCCGCTCTGACAGTCCGGCCCGAGCCTTCCTCCTCCCTCCCATCCCGGGTTACCCGGTGTGTGTGTGTGCGCGCGCTCGGAGAGGCGGGGGTTATTGGTAAATTTCAACATCTGCGCCGCTCTGCTCTTTGGTCTTTGGAGGGGAACGGGTATTTCAGCAATGTTTTTACTTCTGACCACCCTCTCTGCCCATGGTGGGGGTGGTGCTGGAGGACAGCTGTGGAGTGTTAATGGGGAGAGAGACTCCGAAAGCCTGGGTCTTCGAGGCAACGAGACAGCTTTTAGGAAAGACTACCCTGACACGGGTGTTAGGAGGAAAAGGAGCAGGGTAGCGCTCGCTGTTCTGTGTAAAGGTGAACAACAAAGGACATTAATACTGACGGATGAATACAGGAGTCTCCCTTCCTTTCCCTCCTCCCATTTCAGGCGGATTACAGTTCCCGTTTTTGTTGTTTGATTTCAGCTGGGTCGCTCCTTGACAGTTACTCCTTTTAGGTTGCGACTGTTAAGAAGGAAGGCTCTCTGACAAGCCTGAAGCAGCCAAATGCAATTATAACCTCTCAGAAGGTTTGACAGAGAAAGTATTATGATTTTATAGTATAAAATAAAATTTTATACTAAAAATCCATAGTACATAGTTTCCTGTAATGCCCTGTCCTGCTTATTGGTTTACTTTTTAAAAAATTGGGTGTAGATCTAATGATTCAGATGATATGTAGGTATCTACTTATGTTCTAAATTCATTTTCCTGTAATTTAAAAAATCTGGAAAGCCTTTCCAGGGAGTCATAATTACAGGGGATTTTTTTTCCCCCCCAACTTCATCTGGGGATAGGACTTTGGAGTGTCCTGAAAGGGCTGTAGGATTAAACAGAGTCATTCCCCTGTATTATATGAGCTTTCATTTTGGATTTTGACTGATCAGCAACACAATAGTTTGCCCAGGACCCACCTTTGGGAAGGAGTTCCAGTTTTCCCTGTCTTTGAAATGTAAGGGGAGCCTTTATCGGGCGCTCAGCTGGCAAGGAGATGTTTCCTTCTCTTCACCTGCCTCCTTTTTGGGGGTAGATTATTTCTTGTGAGGAAGAGACATTGTTTTTGCTGAAGTGTTGAGGACGCGGCGTGGCCCCTTGTCACCGGCTTAGCACTCGGGGCAGGAAGCACAGACATGGCCAGCAGCACTGTCCCGCTTGGAGTTGATCCCAGATGTTGCTTTCTTCCAAGTTTTAAATTATACAGATTATGGATGGGATTTATTTTCTTGATTTCTTTATGTGCCAGGTCACAGCTGGGGTGCTGGTATCGATTAGATCTTCTCTTGCTTTTCTCTTGCAAGCTGTGGGCAGAGGATTAAAACACACTCTGGGATTTCCTGGAATGGCAAACCGGATGTTATCAGTCAAGTGTTTTGGGCTGAAGCAGACACCTCGCCTTTGGGTGGTTGTGATTTGGTTGCAGAGTAGGGGATGTAGATGGGTGAGGACACATTTGGAGAAAGGTGGGATGAGATGCGAGGTGAAAGCAGAGGGCGGGGATCTGTTGTGCTCATTTATGCAGTATAATACAGGATTGTTACTGTCTTTTATTATTAATTTTTGAGCATTTGGCTTATGAAATGCTTAGGTGTTTTTTAGACTCCATCTGTTACATGTGTGTGTGTATGGTGAAAATTTTGCAGGGATTCTTATGTGTGGACTTTATTTCTCACCACAGAAAGGACTATTTGTAGCTGTTTGTACTGAGCAACTAAAACACACATGCGCTACAAGTTTTTTTTTTTTTAATAAACTTGGTTACTGTATGTGCTTTTCTTTCTAGTTTTTTATAAATACTGAAGGAAATTTATTTTATGGGCACAGATGTTTTGCTGATATTAGGTGTAGTAGAAATCAATTTCCATATTCTTTGATATAAATTGATCTTTGTAACTTTGCTTGAAGTTTCCATGCACATTGTATATTTCTAACATACTTATCTCTCACTATCTATGAAAGAATTATGTATCTTTATATATTATTGTTTCAGTATCAAGCAACATACTGTAAATATGGATAAAATTACTTAAATTTTATACCTGTAGTGAGGTGTATCAGAGATAGGATACACCTTTTCAAACCTTATGTGTGGGTACTATCCCCTCCATTTAATTGATGAATGGTCTTAAAACAATGCATACTTGGTCATATATCTAAGTGTTCTAGGGTATTAGACAGGTATAGTGATTAACTAGAGTTCTGAGTCGTAAGGAACCTTGTCTCTTTGAAACATGTTAATAGGCACAATTGTAGACATATTTTATTTTGGGAGAGTCTGTTTAGCTCTTGGTCTTAGTCAAGACAGTGCTTGCTGCCAGCTGTGTGACCTAGGGTAAGTCACTTAACCTTCCAGGGTCTCAATACACCTGGGGAGAGTCGAAGAATAGCCAAGGTTTTTCTCAGTATTAATTCTGTGGAGTTCTTCCAAACAAGTGTGTCCTTTGCTTAGGAAGATATTTCCATCGTGTTGAGATTGTTATGAGAAAGGCACGTTTGCTGTGACACATCCCACATGGTTTTCAACTAAGATCACAGGTAAGCAAAAGCTACCTGGCAGGCTGCCAGAACCAAGGTGATTCGGGCTGTTTGATCCTCTCTCTGGCAGGAACTCAAAGGGCAGTGACTAAAACATTCTTGATCACCCCCTGACAACTTTCCTCACGCCCGCCGACTATCTGCCTTCTGTATGTTCTCATCCTGTCATAGTCCCCGTCCCCCCGCTTAAAGTGATGGGAATTAGTCACAGAGAAAGTTAGGGCCATTGCAGGTCTATTTCTACATTCATTTGCTCAGCAGGCATGCGTGAGCCAGTGAGCCTTTGAGAGCTGCAAACTGAGCCCCTCACCCAAGCCAGATGTTTTACATTTGTGAACCTGTTTAGGCTTAGAGGGGTAATGTGGGCTGGATTGACCAGTGCAGAAAAAACCCCTAAGGCATACAGGAAGCAAAACTCAGAACAAGCTGATCTGAAGGTCACAGATATCCTTTTAAAAAAGTGTCATCATACTCATATCACTGAGTCCTCACAAACATTCCTGTCTTCCATTTATCCTAAAGTGTTTTTTTAAATCATCTAAGTAGGAATTCAGGTCTCCTAGGTTGCTCAGTGGTAAAGAGTCCACCTGCCACGCAGGAGATGTGGGTTTGATCCCTGGGTCGGGAAGATCCCTTGGAGAAGGAAATGGCAACCCACTCCAGTATTCTTGCCTGGAAATCACATGGACAGAGGAGCCTGGTGGGCTACAGTCCATGGGGTAACAAAAGAGTTGGCCATGACTTAGTAACTAAACAACAGCAAAGTAGGAATTCTGTTCCTTTTTAAAGTCCCTTCTATTTTAATGGGGAGAGGTACCATCTCTTATTTACTCAGGATCTTTAGAATGTCTTTTTCTTCAGAAGCGTGATTTATTGGTAGCCTGTGTGGAAGAGTTATAAGGGAGTGTACCTTTCCTCTTAGCTGTTTTCAGTTTGTTAGCTGGCAGTCTTGAGATGTTTCTTATCTTGTGGTACCATGATGTGTGCAGATAACATGTGTAGCTAGATAAAGATGTGCTACCTGGAATTGTTTGTGGCATTTAGAGACTGGTACAGGATTCTAAACTTTCAGTGGGAAGCAAAGAGCAGTGATTTGTACTTGCAAGTAAAGTATTACTGAAGGGCTGTGCAGACAGTGAGGTGGCAGCCTACATTCATGATCTGGCCTCCTGTGGGAATAGCCTGTAAACATTTCCCCCTTTTGGTCATTCTTATAAGTGATGATTCTTTCACAAGGCCCCACGGTGACACTGAGATGCTGCCTTTCTTCTTTAGTCTTATTTTTTCCCCCAGAGGCTGTATAGTCAGAACTACAAAGGAGATTATAAACATTTCAAGAAACTTAAGGATTTCCTGTCTCTAGCTCCATTTTTTTTAGGAGACTACATTTGCAGAATTATCTTTGATACAGTATGTCCAAGTTCTAGCATAGTCATTTTATGTTGTGAACATATACAGCCAAGAAACATTAATCTAACTCTAAGGAAACCCAGCCATAATGCTGTAATCTTAGCATATTAGTACAATGTTTTATAGTTAAAAAGATGTTGTGAAATTATTTTATTTGAATCTACTCTCTGAAGTAGAATACTTTCCATTTAAGAGATGAGGAAACAACTTCACAGAGATTAAATGACTTACAGAGATTAAATGTGTTGGAGATATTGCAGGTTTGGTTCTAGACCATTGTAGTGAAGCAAATTATCACGATAGAGTGAATCACACACATTTTTTGGTTTCCTAGTGCATATAGGTTATGTTTACACTATATTGTAGTCTTTTAAGAGTGCAATAGCGTTATGTTTAAAAAACCATGTATATACCTTAATTTAAAAAGAAAAACAGCAATAAATAAATAAATAAAAAGGGAAACCACAAGCCATCATCTGACAATGCAAGGTTG